CACACACACACAAGCTTCCCGTACCGGCGAGCAGCTTTACCCAAAAGGAAAGGAAAATAGATAAATGAAACAACAAAGTGTATCTCTTAAGCCGGAGAGCAACTAGAAAATAGTCGAGAGATCAAATTAAACTACTCCTGCTGGCCACCTACCGGCGAGCAGCAGCTGATAGAAAACTCAAACTCATCCCTCTGCTGCTGTCTAGCCCAAGCAAGCTTCCCGTACTGTCCATTGGCGTGGTCGTCCCTTCAGTCTTGGTGCCCAGACGGAGACGAGATCCAGGACATGGACGGCCAAGATTCGCCCATCGACTTTCGGGGTGGTTTCACACCACGCCAGAGATCACACAGAGGTCGGTCACTCACATGCGTGAACACTGGCGAGCGGTAACGTACAGCAGCAGCTGGATCTCATCTCAATATCTCATCCGGGAGGAGGAGAAGTCTCCAAAGTCGAAAAGCACCTCCACTTCCACTGCGCGCAGCTCACTATACCCAGTCCCCACCCCCCGTCTTTCCGCTCGCTGGGGCGCGCACATGCCACCCAACAGCATTGTTGAGCATTATTGTGCCGTGCCCTCGCAAAGCGGCGCAAGCCAACAAAGGGCGAGCGAGGGCGCCACGCGCACACTCCACTAGCGAGCGAGCGAGGGAGGAGTACGATGCCGCAGCAGCAACCACCCCTCCCGCTCCCGCCGCGCATGCGCCCGCCGACGGACCGCGAGGCTGCCGCGGCCGGCCCGCCTCCTCCGCGGCAGCGCCTGGGCCAGGCGCCGAGGCCGTTCCGCGCGGCGGAGGAGCCCACGGCCCGCGGGCCTCCCGTCGCCGACAGGGCCAGGCCGCCGGAGCCGCGGCCCCGCCCGAGACTCGCGGAGGAGGGCCGCGCGTCTCACGAGGCTCTCCTCGCCAACGTCGCCAGGCCGGCGGGGAAGCCGGAGGGCCGCGCCGCTCGGGAGGCTCCCATCGTCCCCGTGGCCAAGCCGCTGGAGCAGCTTCACGGAGCGCCGGAGGGCCGCGCGGCCCGGGAGGCTCCCGTCGTCCTCGTGGCCAGGCAGCCGGAGAAGCTGCACGTTGCGGCGGAGGAGCGCAAGACTCCTCGGGAGGCTCCCGTCGCCCCCGTGGCCAGGTCGCCGGAGCAGCTGTATGGCTCGCCGGAGGGACGCGCGGCTCGGGAGGCCCCCGTCGCCACCGTGGCTAGGCCTCCGGAGCCGCGGCCGGGGCCGTACTACGTGCCGGGGGGCGGCGCGGCGGCGGCTCCCGTCGCAACCACCGACAGGCCGCCGGAGCCGAGCCCGTGGCCGTACCCGTACTACTACGAGCCAGAGCGCCCCCCGCGGCGCCGCACCTCCGCCGTGGCGTCCTGCCTTATGGCGGCGGCCTTCCTCCTGTTCGCGGCCGGCGGGGCAGCGACGGCGCTGTTCCTCCTCTTCCGGCCGCAGCCGCCCGAGATCGCCGTCGCGGCGGTGCGGCTGCCGTCCTTCGCGGCCGCCAACGGCACGGTGGCCTTCACGTTCGAGCAGGTGGCCTCCGTGCGCAACCCCAACCGCGCGCCGCTCGCGCACTTCGACAGCTCGCTCCGCGTCGCCTACGCCGGCGGCGAGATCGGCTCCATCTACATCCCCGCGGGCCTCATCGACAGCGGCAGCACCAAGCACTGGTCCACCACCTTCGCCGTGCCGGCCTTCCCCGCGGCCACCCCGCCGCCGCTGGACACGTCCGCGCAGCAGCCGGCGGCTGCGGCTGTCATGATGGAGGTGGACTCGCTGCTGGTGGTGAAGGGCAAGGTGATGGTGCTGCGGGTGCTGACGCACCGGGTGCAGGCGTCCAAGGTGTGCCGCGTCGGCGTCTCGCCGATCGACGGCAGGGTGCTTGGCTTCCGGTGCTGACCCGCACAGCCACTGCTAGCTCGGGGTTTGGGGGTTCAACTGTAAGAAATTATTAAGGCAGGATTTTACAGGAAACAAAGGCAATTTCAACTAGAATCATCCGAAATTGCCAACTAGAATCGTGTGAATTTTCCGTGTCAAAACATTTCACCGAACAAGTTTGGTAAATTGGAAATGAAGTTGGCATGGCCTGTTCTTCAGTAGCATGTCAAACATATTTCATCTCGACCAAAGCATTTCTGCATACAATATGTTGCACGACAGATCTTACATGTTGGGCTCACAAAAAGAAGACCAATTACTATGTCGGTCGAATCTACAACTCTAATAGAATAGTTCATGGTATGTTCGGCTCCAAGATTTCATGGAGAACTCATGGATCAGGATCAGATCTATACTAATACTACTACACAACGGGTTTACTGTTTGCTCCTCTTGTTTGGGACAATATAAGGCGGCTAAAAAGGTAATCTCGCTTGAATAGGCGGATGCGGGATAAGCTGTAGAAGCATCTGTTGACATAGAATTCTCGGCGTCATAGTGAAGGATGTCGAGCTTCACTGGGTCACCATATCTTGTTCTTGATCCAAAAGAGCATCAGTACTATCCCCATCACAATGGCCACAGGGGCATACTTCCGAATTAAGGCCTGAAAAACCACAAGTGGCAATTGCGTCAGATTAATAAGAAAAAGTATGGTGGCTAGTGTTGACTAGAGATTCCCATTCTGCTTTGTTAATGAACATAGGACTGCAGATACAGAATGGAATGTGTGCTTCACGAACAGAAGGCGCGGAGATATTACCATTGTTTTTAAGGCGGTAAGGCAACCTAAGGCGAGCACCACCCGCTCCAGCGCCTAGGCGACGCCTAAGCGCCTAAGACGGGCATATTTGTAAGGCGCTGAAAGGCGCCTTATCGCTCAAGCGTCCTAGGCAGGACGCCTTAAAAACAAAGCACTAGTGAGCAGTTTGTGGCAGATCACAACGGGACCAAGTTAGTTTTTTACTGCACGTTTTTTATTTGTTTGGAGTGACGATTACAGCCAACATAATTTGCTGGAAGTGGCCAATCAAACTAAAATAGAAAGTACTGTACAAGGGAAATGACAATAATTATGCAGCTTGCAGCTGCTCAACTGTGATGCGCTTCTCTGTCAAAAAAAAAGTGATGTGCTTAAGCTATTTTGCAATCTGATGTGAAAAGAGAGCCACAAAAATAGGAAATGTTAGTTATTCAAATAGGAAAATAGGTAGTACTACAAACTTGTTATCAAACAAAATTACCATAATCCACTGACAAGGCAAACGTAGCAAGTATCTAATTATGGAATCTTCAAGTTGTTAAGTTTGAGAAAAAGAGGGCTCTGTGATACCAACCAAAGAAAGTAGATCTACCTCAAGACTCCTTTAATTTAAAGAAGATAATGAAAAGTTTGAGAATAAAAGAGCCCTGTGATGCTTACAAACCAACGAAAGTAGATCTACCTCAAGAATCTTTTCATTTAAGAATGATATGAAAAAACAAACAGAAGACTACCAGCCATACTCATCTCTGTGCCCAACATGAATAAATCATTTGTTTCGGTACTCAGACTCGGCTTAGCTGCTTGGATACATATAACTGGAGTGGAAAATGGATTTAGGGGGACAGTACCTGGCGATTGAGATCCTTTGCCTTGTCTGCATACATTCTCGTATCAGAGGTCAACCTACTAGACAATTGACTAACCTCTGCAAAGGGCAAAAAGAAACCTTTCTTTGAGCAATTGTCTTAATTGACATGGCTGAGGACTGAGGATTATGGATATGCAATATCTATGTTTTTAAGGC